ATTTCTATTATATTTATGGTCCTGTTGATTCTTTGTTTTTACTTTCATAACTGCAAACACCAACTTATCTCTATGACTACTGTGATCTTTGTTTTTCTCCCCACCATTTCATGTAAAGAGAACATTATATTCAATATTTTTTAGTCATGCAAGGATTTCTATACCCCATCGACAATACTGTGTGAAACAAGCCCATGGCAATTTTCACTTGTATTATTATTATCATCATTATCTTAGCTGCTATCATTATTATTATTATTTCCATTTTATGTGCTGCATGTTTTTTTTGACATTACCCCTATTGTAAATGTGGAAAATTTTCTGTGTGATAAATTTTATTTATAATTTGAGGAAATTAGATGCAATATTGTGATTAATGCTGAAAATCCCATTCTGTGTCACAAGTACTGTTTTTGAAATAAAGTAAATCATTATTATTATTATATTTTTCTTTAATTGGCTTCCAACCTAAGCGTTATAAACTTCAAGAAGAAGATGAAGGAAAGTTGTCAGAGAGGATTGAGTTGTGCTTCAGAGAAAAAGACACTGCGTCGTATGATATGCCGTTTATTAATAGTTTATCTGAGGATCCTATACCGTGAGGATTTTGTGCTGTGTGTAAACATATTGTCCAGAATAAAGCTAATATTATTATTATAAACAGGTTTGGTCACGAGTTAACGACAGTTAGAGAACAACTGCAAAACCAACAGGGAGTACAAGACAGCTGTTTTGTCCCAGATTGGGACTCTTCATCAACGCGCATCCACACGAGTTCCAGCCTTGTGTCTTTAGGTTAAAAAGCGAGCATATAGACCATTCTCCCTGGATCCGAACCCCGTGGGATACTGGCTGGTGAAAAGTACCGAACTAGGACGAAGCAGACATCAAGTACTCTCAGGTTTTTCAGTGGTTTTGCAGCTGATATCAACTCGTGAACTAACTTGTAACCATTTACGTCCCTGCATATCAACACCTAGTAGCTATTATAATCGTCCAGTTCAAGAATTATTACAACCAATCAAATCAGAGGAGGACCAGTGATGGTCCAATTAGATGTCACGTGTGTGGATGGATGTCCCACTAACGACAATGGTTGGGGTCGCGCTAAATCACGAATTGATAGAAGTTAGAATTCATGGGCTGGCCATTGAATTGGGTCCCAGTGGCTGAGTGGTATACGAGCTTTCCTTATAACCGGAAGGTCCTGGGTTCGAATCCCAGCGGGTGCGTACTGCCGATGATTCCCAGACTAGGATGAAACAGCAGCTGTCCAGTACTCTCTGGCTGATTTTCAATTGTTCTCTAACTGATATCATTCCGTGATCAACTCGTAAAAACATAACTAACCCTTATAAACCAAACTATAGAAAATCTCAAAATCCTATTTCAATTCACGTACATTATAGCATTCTAACAAGTAACTTATTATGACTATAGAAACACTCGCCTTAATTCATATCTGATTGTATTTGATAAATAACACTCATATTATTATTTCTGAATGTACATTATCCTATATTGATTTTTATTTAAATATCTAGTCAATTCCACAAATTTATATAAATGAAGGAAAAAGTTGTGTGAGTGAGCGACTTGATATGACTATGAGTGGCAATAGTTTGTGCTCGAAACGTGGTCATCAGTTAATATTACTGTATAGCACTGTGTGATTTACCAACAAATAAAATCTTATCCATAATGGAGTTATACTCTACCACAGTGCCTAAGTTTTATACTTATATCAACTTCCAACCTACCTTTAAATTCACTTATATATATTCTACTAAATATGTTGTTATATACACTAAGTTAATTGTTAATACAACTAGACATAAAAATATTGAACACTGATCATGAGTACTTTTATATTGTTTTAATAGATTAATTAAAGAAATGGAGTTAGCTTACATTTGAATTAGTAACTGCTTTTTATGAATGTTTCGTTTTTAATTTGCACTTATATTTAACTACTGACTGTACTATTATCATCTCAGGAAATTTGATAATTATTTCCGCTATATGAAAAAAATTTGTCTAAGGGATTTAAAATTAGCGTATGTTTCCATAGTGTTACTCACTCCTTAGTAAGATATCAAAATAAACTTATAAGTCTCCGGAAAAAAGTCTTATCACTTTATCCAGTACTCTAGTTTTTAGTTAACTGAGAGATACAGAGTGATGGAGAGTGCCGATCGATACAGATCTGTTTAAACAAACGGCTTCTAGTCATTCATCTGTCCAATGATCTAACATTAATTCTAAGTACCGGTGACCCCCTGGTTAGAGACCAAACGCCTAGACTGGGAAGCCACAGAAATCTTTTCCTATTCTCCTGGACTAAACCACTTTAAAAATAGTCTTATGGCGCCAAAACGGTCTCCGAATAAATAACGGAGCTGTGAAACATTGAACTCTGGTATTAAGAAGTGGAATGTCAAATGAGAAGAGAATGCGGTTACTTTTTTGATTGGACACTAGTCAGCAACTAGTATCTAATCAAAAATAGCCATTACAGTCTTACAAGAGGTCAGTCGCGAGCCCCAAGAGCTCAGTGACAACGTCTCTGACTGCAACACTGGGTGACACGGGTTCGAATCTCAGAAGGGATATTACTTCCTTCAAGATTGCAGGTACGCCTTGCTGACTGGTGAGGGCCAGAAAGCATGAAACCTGGGTTGAAGGCCTCCTGCCGATTGCCGTCAACCATACAATACAAACAATGCAGTTACCTGGTGGTTGGCATAGTATCAGACTATTCAGTGTGTATTTAGACATTGAAACATACATTTATGCCTTACACGAGCGAATCTCATAAGTTAGGGGGTTGCTTTTTACAGTTACGAATATGGAGAGAATCTACATTTTCACCTAATTCTCCATGGAAACAATCTTTTAAAACAGATTTAACTGATACTCCTCTCCAGTAAAGGTTGACCTGATATCACAGGGCTACTGAAATGTATTCAAGTAGAGGTATGTCAGGCTTTCGTCACCTCATGACAAGAAAATAACACATAGAAAATCATTATTACAACAAGCAATCTATAATCTGAATTCTTAGAAACAAAGAAATAATAATCCATTGTTTCGTCCTATTATGAAGCTCCTTAGTGGTGTTTAAATGCTGTCATAGAAGAGATCGAACCTAGAATCTTCAGGTTACGACTAGAGTCAGCTGTCCATTTGGATACTACGCTGGAGTCTTGTGGCGGCAAAGTAACCAAATAGATGTTTAATGTTCCCCTAAGTATAAAAATTATCTAGCTGATGTCACTTCGTCATAAAAAATACAGTGGAATTAATGAAAACCCATGCGAATCCAAGGTGTCATTATTATTATATAAATACCACCCTGTCATTTTAATTGAGAATATAAGTCGCGGCAGAATTCAAACGAGTGACCCCCAATTTACTAGTCCGCCTCTTTACCAGTAGAACTACTGCACCTAATTTCTAATCAAGTAGTTATTTCGACACAAACACCAGGGGTAATGCCTCATTGCCGTGTCAAACAGTGATACGCTAATGTGCGTTGTTCGTCACAGTAGCATTCCAATTAGGTATTTTCTCATTAATCCTAATAGTACCGAATTAGAAGCAGAGAAGTACATTGTTACTTGATGGTAGGACTATGTGAAATAATCTTAATTTTTGAGACGAATGCTGATATACTGAATGCTGATTGGAAGATTCAGAATGATTAGCCAAAAGATGACTATCGGAAAATATTCTCACTAAAAATTATCATTATTGTTTTTGGGGACATTCAAATTTAGGCTAGTCAGAGTTACCAACAAACATCTACAAACATGAGCGATCAGGAATTCTGTCAGCTAACCTACCAGCAATCTCTTACCCAACTGGAAAATATGCAGAAGGAAGTGGAGATGGATTTGGTATGCATTGTGAAGACCTTCAGGGGATATCATAGACCAGACCCCAGAGTAAAAGCAGAATAGAAATCAGATAAAAGAAGACGGGAGAGAATACAATACAATAAATATGCGTTTCTAAAACCCCTTATTACACTCAAAAAAATGTACCCCAAGATTGTTGTTATTAGATAGTTGGAGGCAATCGGCAGGTAGCCTTCGACCTAGGTTTCTTACTTTCTGGCACTCACCAGTCTGCAAGGCGTATCTGCAACTTGTAAGGAGCTCATATCCCTTCAGAGATCCGAACCCATGTCACTCAGTGCTTCAGTGACTTTATTAACAACAATTCAGAGTGCACTGTGGTGGCGAGCTACATGGCATGGCAAAGTGACTGACGAAATTCAGTCTGCAGTAAGCGGACAACTACGTGCATGACATTAGTTAGTGTCCACTCAAAAAAATACCTGTTTAAAGCTATCGGGAAAAGAATTTTAAAATAAAAATATTTTGTAACATTTTGCAGAGAAGCTTAACTTTTGTTATGAGTAGCTTATTTGTATAGTTTCCAACTCCTACATTTAATAGGGGGAGATGACTTCCCTTTAAGTTTCAGACGTATCTTTGTAGTGAATATTAACAAACAGAAGAACCAAGAAAAATAGAGTTGCTTTAAATTGCCCCCATACCAGAGGCGAATTTAGTCCCTCACTTCTGTTACAGATTGGGAACAGAATCTATTATTCACCTTTTGTCCTAATTGAGACTCATCGGTCAGATGTATATACGAATCAAGCGAGCAATGATATTCCCACTTCAACTTGCCCTGAGTATCTACTACCTCAGACAGAGAAGTACTATTTAATAGGCCAGCAGGCCACAAGAGCCTTGCCTCCCTGCTCCAGGTATGATTCGAAATAAAGCTGATCAGTTCAGTCGATATATTCTGACAGGAGGTCAAAAACATGAATAAACAAATCACTAGGTTTTGCTTAAGCATAATTCAGAAGTAAGTTTACTGAGAAATTTTCCATTTATCTGACTAAGACATTAAAATGCAATATTATAAGCAATAAACTGGTTAAGAGAAAAAAGAAAGTTACAACAACAACAAAAAATACTTACCCCACATGGCATTTCATAAATTACCGACTTCACATAGATCAGAAATGGTAGATTAACAAAGGCCAAGAAGATGAGTATTCCACCACCAATCAACCAGGCACGATAATGCAGCGTACTTCTACTTCTCAGCATATTCAACTGTTTCAAACTTGCATATCTGTCGATACTCAGTGCCATAACTAACCAGGCTGAAAGTTGAAGGCCTAAATGCCAAAAGTATAAAAATAATTTACAATTCCAATCACGACGCCATACATTCGATGGATGGGATAAATCCTCTAGTGAGATGAGTGTATAAAAGTCAACAGCAACTGAATTACGATAAGCATCAATTGTCTGCATAATCACTACGAGAGAATCAGCCAAAGATAAAAAGACAAACAGGATAAATGTACCAGAGAATTTCAACAGATGGGTGATAATAACAATACAGCTAAGCAGATTACCGGTTAGCCCGAAACATGCCAGTAAACCCATTGTTATAGCAACAAAATATTCACGTTCAAGCATCCATTCAAAACGCTGGATTTTTTCACATGGTCTATTCAACTGTTCCATTGTTGAGTGAATTTCTTCAGTGATATTTTTAAGCCATGTCTGGTTATAGAATTGGTTCAATTCTTGTGAACATAATTCACTCGGAAGCAGCTGATACTCTTTGTATTGTGGTAAGATTTGAGAACCGAAATCGAAATCCAATGGTTTAGTCATAATTCAGTAAATAATGATCATTGCCATAAATGTATTTAATGCATTAGTTAACAGTGAAGAGTTTAGTGATTTAAAAAGTTTTTTGTATAAATATATGTACATATTTATATATATTTACTGCTCAATGTTCAACAGTTTCACACATCTATTTGATTTGGTCGCCGTGTATTTTCAACATTACGAACTCCTCAGAATTTTGATTGGTCAATTCAAATTTGGTATTCCACCAATCATTTTAATGTATTTTTTGAAACAAAACATTAACAACAAAAAAGAAGGAAACTTTGAAGTTTATTTTTATTAATTAACAAAATGGCCGAATAATGGACACACTTCATATCTGATTGATCTGATTCTCGAAATTTCCCTCTTAACTCTCTTCTTTGAAATTTTTCGTAGTCTTGAACCGAAATATATTTATTTTTCAGTCTAACGGATCTTATTAAGTGAAGCCATTTGTCAAGAGAGGGCAAGAACAATAAATTGGACAACACAGTATGATGTCATAGCATTATTCCGTGCATTGGTGATTCCCTGGTAATGTGCTTGCACATGACGTACGACATCCAGATAGAATTTCCAGACATTGTATTATTGCATCCTTTAATTCCTAGAGGAACATAGGGCTTCAGCTGCACGTCTCCATTGCGTTCGGTTCTCTGCTAGAGTCTTCACCTGGCTCCAAGTCCGCCCACACGTTTCCATCTCCTCTTCACATGACCTCCTCCAAATCACCTTTGCACGACCAACTCGCAGCTTCCCTTTCGGGTTCCACTCGAGCAATGGCTTGTCTAGTGATGTCACTTGATGGTTTCCTCAGAGTATGGCCAATCCATCTCCATTTCTTCCTGCCTATTTGTTTCACAACCGGTTCCTGGTCAGTTCGCTCCCAGAGATCTCTGTTGCTGATCTTTTCTGGCCATCTGATCTTAAGCGAAGTACTGAGGGAAGACAGCTGTTGATGAAGGTCTGTAGTTTGTTTGAGATGCTCTTTATGACGCACCAAGTCTCTGATCCGTACAGTAAGTAGCACTGACTTCACATTGGAGTTGAAAATCCGGATCTCATTTTTGATGCTGAGTGTTGTTGACCTCCACACAGACTTGAGAGTAGTGAAAGCCTGTCTTGCTTTCCCAATTCTTGCTTTGATATCCTCGTCAGCTCTGTCCGCCTGTAGTTGAAACGATGCTTCCAAGGTAGGTTAAGGAGGTTGTTTCTTTCAGGTTCCTTCCATTTATGCTGATTGTTGTCTGTTGTTGTTGCTGTTGATGGTGTTGGCCAGGAATCTTCATCACCTCTGTTTTCTCTATGTTCACCTGAAGTCCCATCTTTGATAGAACGGATCAAATTTGTTATTTACTTTATCGGTACATATAGAAATGTTTACAAGAATACCCCATAACTAGGAACGAAAGTCCCAAATTGATTACAGAAGTAAAATTCGCGACACATCAAATTTTGGACAAGCAAGAGACACGAAGGCATCAATGATCCTAGAACACTCATTTAGCAAGATAGTGAAACCAGATAATTGACACTATACTCATGAAAAAAGTATTATCAAAATTATGATATCTGATAAGTATCAAATTAGGTTTGGAAAAGATCAAGATTAAGTTGAGCTACGTTAACCTAATGGGGGAGATATTAGAGCTCGTTCGAGATAGATTAGGATTGTGTTAAGGAGAGATAAAGGTAGCACTTTCCCGCGCTATGATATTCTCTAAGCTCATTGGTTCATTCGCTGCCCATCCACTCCCTCCCTCCCGGGTGCCTAGAGTTAAACTTAGCCATATTAAAGAAGAGTTAAAATTATTAATCCCTCCCTCAAAAGATATAGAACAAGGATTTCAAAGAAGAAAATTCGTTTTGCAACGATTTTATTTTCATAGTTGTATGGTCACATTTATTTATGGATTATGGCAGTGGTAACTATGTTTAAATGTAAGTTTGCAGGGATTTCATCGTGAACTGATGTCGGTTAGAGAACCATTGGAAAACCCACAAGGAGTAGTGTTGCATCAGCCTAGTTTGGGACTCTTCATCAGTACGCACCTACTTAGGCTCGGACGTAGGACCTTCTGTTTACAAGGCAAGCTCGCAGACCATTAAGCCACTGAGACTCAATCGAATGGCCTGCCCATAAATTCAAACTTTTGCCAATTCATGATGTGGCGCGACCACTATCGAATGTCACCGCGAGTATTTGTCGTCACACCCAACATGCTGTATTCCACTTCAAGTATGTTTGTTGTCTTCATATGCATGTTCACGTGTTGATATTTGACAGTGGAATATATAAATCATAAACTGATTAGAGATATAAAAGAATAAACAAAGATCAACACACAGAGTACAATAGACATCAGTAAATAAAAGATAAAAAGATTAAAAGCGTTCAGCAATGTGAATATGTGAATATTTGTCGGGTTAAATGAGATAAGATAAGATAATAAGAGAACGGTTGTTAATTAGATAAATAATATGTTACAATAAGATAATGTGAAGTGAAATAGGGTAGAACAAAATGAAACAACTGAGATTAAAACTATTTTTATTGCTTAACAAGATAAAGTTAATTTCGGTACGACAAAAGAAGTTTTATATTCGAAACCTGGCTTTATCCAAGGTATTGCCATCGCTTCTGACATGCGAAGCAACTGCACCCATATTCTTTTCAGCTAAATTCGTCGGAGAAGAATACGTCAGTAGCTGAGTGGTGTTTCATGGCAGCGTGCTTACAACTAGGACTACCACAAATTTCCATCTATGTATGGCATTTATTTTCTCTCATTCGGTTTGTTTTAATAGATTAAGATATAACATCAAATAGGATTATCTACTCTCGGGTATATTTCAAATGTTTATAAGCTCCTCATTCGCAAGTTCCTATTAAACTTGAGAAGTGGCCTGATTGTGGATGTCAACGTATCCCGATAAATGAGACAGCCGTTCTTCACCCATGTCATTGAGTCTCAAAATGTACTTCTCATCATCCACGTCTTAGTCACTGAGGGGAGCATATTGCTATTGGAAGGATTCACTATTTTATTCACTGAATGATATATACATTGGTTTGTAGTAGAACTGAACCCTCAGTCTGACGTTCTGCGAGATCAGAACAGCATACAACATCATCCTTTCGTGCAATCAGACGAGAGATCGTCGTCATAGGCAGACCATTCATACCATTTTTATGCATGTGTATAGGGACAGGTATAGTTATTCTTATAAACGTTCGTGTCAATCAGTTATGCACAGTATGAATAAATTGAAATTAACTCCGTTGAGCTACAGTGACCTGTCTAAAAACTAGGCTACCACAACCTCCAACTTTCTTTTTCTTTTATATTTTATCCCTTTATGTTCCCAGTGGAACATAGGGCTTCAAGTTTCCGTAACAGTGGTGTTTATTTTTACGGGATGAGGTTGCTAGCCTCATGCCCAGCCTTCCCTCTTTACCACTCTTATTAGTGGCTTAGTGGGGTAAAGCGTTGAGTCGGTGGTCGAGAATCGAACACGAACCACCTGCGTGATTGGTGGGCATTCTACCGCTGTGCCACCGACAAACTTCATCTTTTCATTGCATATATTTTCTCTCATTCTGCTTGTTTTAATGGATTAAGATAAAACATCTTGTGGGATTATCTACTCTCGGGTGTATTCAAAATGTTTACAAGGTCCTCATTCACAAGGTCCTAATAAGCTCGAGGAACAACCTGATTGTGAGTGGCAACATATCACAATAAACGAGACAACTGTTCTTCAGTTATGTCATTGAGTCTCAAAATGTACTTATCAACATCTCACAATTGGCTTTCAACTAGATATCGTGAATATCTCAAAGGAGACAAAACGGATATATCATCATGGAATGGTTTCTGCTTCAGCTCAGAGACCATTGTGTCACAGGAAGTATATACTGTCAATTAGTATTTTACTTGAAGACATTGATTGTACGAAGGGAAAATATCATGCAATAAACTCCTCTGAAAATTCTGTACATTTTTAAATACTGTCTAGAATGAAGATGTTACTATTATTAATGACTGTACTTTCTCCTTTGTCAAGTCAGATCTGGAGGTGAGGTACCGACGACATAATATAATGAAATCTGTTAGAACAACTTTCTCCCAGTCCACTTGAGCGGAAAAATTATACGAAGAACACTTTTTTCCTTTGTGTATAAATAAATATCCAGAGCATGAATATCACGAATCATTTGAGATTAACTTTGTCAGTGTTTCGGACTGAATTGTTTTTAAAATCATAAAAATAATCTGAGCTCCATAAGAAAAACAAAATGGCAGTTGTTCTGAGTATTTTGCTGTGTAAGCCGAAGATTCTTCAAGAGAGTTACTCAAACTCCATTTGTGATAGGATAAAAATAACATTTTTTCAAGCTGATAACGTTTTGTAGCAAAAATTTTCTTCTCTGAAGTTTTATACATTTGGTTCACTTCATAAGTTTCAGCGGTTAGGACTCTCACCGACCATGGAAATGGTCCGGGGTTCGATCCCCTACTGACGCACACTTGATATCAATCGTTTGGCCTGCAAAATTTGGGCTACCGATATCACATGCTGAAAATTCCATATCTGTACTAAAAATACGGTGTGGAATCAAGCTATAATAAAAACACGATATTGTTTTATTTAACAAGTTCTCATCAGCTGCAAACTACTTCAATATTTGAACAGTAGTGAGGAAAACATTATAAAATCAACGCATCCGAAGTACAGGCATTACAAAGAGATGCAGTATCACAAAAGATCGACAAGGGAATGGAAGGAGCAATAAAAAGATGCTTCCCTGAAGCTTAGGTTGTAACGTTATACAGCAAAACACGCTCTATAAAGCCAATCCAAACTGGATAAGTGCCGTACTGATGTCAACCCCCAACTGCACTTGCCACAGCATTTATATTGGAAGGACAGAAAGAAGGGCTTCTATCCGGTTTTCTGAGTATATCCCTAGAAGCTTATGTCTAAAAGGAAGCAAATATTTTCTAAGTGCAATTACCAGACACCTTGTGGATTCGGGCCATTTCGTCGAGATTTCTAAATCTT